CACGTTAGTGTACATGAAAGTTCGCGGTGGGCGGACAGGTAGTCGTATCAGAGCGGGAAGTGAGATCGGCAGGCCGTGCGCCAAGGTAGCCGTCGGTGGCGCTGAGGGACTCTTTGCGAACGCGTAGCCCATTCAGCCGTCCTTTACGAATACAACTTGTGTTGTGTTTTTACATTTGGTTGTCACGACTCCTCCCCACAACTAAATGCAACTGCCGGATGTCATGTTCGATGCAACCGGCTTTTCTTGTATTAGAAAATTATATCTGTGTTATAAAATGAAAATCTTTTTAAGAAGGGTAGCTCTCGCCGATCAATACTCTTATTTCGTGCGGCAAACACATCCTTCTAGGTCAGACCCGAAACATAATCAGTTGTGTGTGTGTGTGTGTCAGAGAACACAACTTGTGTGCGTGTTGTCATCCCCGCACTGCATGCATCTAAACCGCCTTAGTGTGCTGTCATCACCCAGTATAAGATCCAAAGTGAAAAGTCGAAAAATCGGTCTCGTCATGACCGAAGGCGTCATGACCGAAGGCGTCATGACCGAAGGCGTCATGACCGAAGGCGTCATGACCGAAGGTCTCGTTGTTGGACCTGGGCGACGGCTATGTGAATATCATCTCATCGGAAGATGCTGAACAACTTGTGTCCAAACAACTTCGGAACCGAAGAGTCATCTGCGCGTATCAGCGCAGGCGTCGTTACGACGTATCAGGGAGACCGAGAATCTCTTCCGAGGTGCGCGTCTTGCTGCTGTTCTGGTCATACAGTCTTCCGGTATCCTGCATGCGGTCGGTCGTCTTGGAACATAGCTGACGGTGGGGCTTGTCGATTGTCTTCAGACGAAAAGCTCTCAGCGGCGAGGTCGAAGACAGGTCCTAATTGTGGGGTCTTGTCCAGATTCGGACGGGCCCGATAGGCGTAGGTGTCCCAGTGTCGGACGTGCTCCACAACTGGCATAACTGGACGTGCCCTAGAGGCGCCAGAGGCAGAGACGCCAGAGGCAGAGACGCCAAAGGCACTGGAGCCAAAGGCACTGGAGCCAAAGGCGTCATCGATGTGGACGGATCGGAGAGCCGAGCAGGTCCGACAGCCGCGCGGATGGCCTCGGGCGACCAAGGGTTCCGGTCTTGGAGACGTACTGCGACGAGGAGCTCGTCAGCTCGGAAGAGGTCTGTGAAATTACCTTTCAGCACTTGGTCCCAAAGACGATGTTGGGTAGCAGTCACAGGGTTCCAATAGGGGACATCAAAGATCGTTTGGTTCAGAGGACTCGCATACCAGAGGAGTCGCAGGTAGGACAGTTCCGGAAGCCTGGTCAGAGGGATTCCGCGCAGTTGACCGATCTGGGAACGGAAGTCAAAGCCTTGCGGTATAGAATCTCCCCTCGTTTTGGTGTGGCCATAATGAAGTTCCTTTCGATGGACGCCTGCAGGTTGGCCTTGTGACCGAAGAGTACCCACCGTCGCCAGCCAGGCGTGGATGCGGAGCTGCGGCCGAGGGGAGACATTCCTCCATGCACGCTTATGCCATAAATTCCGCAACGTCCTGGCTCGGAACACGGCCACCACCGCAGAGTCTGGCAATTCATCCCAGTAAGCATCACACAATACCTTCTGCATGTACGACAACCACACATACTGGCACACACTCTCCACGCTCGCCACACACGTCCTCATTACACACACACGCACAATACCTTGTTGGTGTACACACACAAAAATTTCGTGTTTCGTCCCCGGCCGCGTCAAGTTGCCTCCCAGCAAGCACTCCGTCGCATGGACGCGTCCATGGTCATCGGTTCTACGGGACGACATTGAAGAGTTGTTGGAAACCTCGGTGGGCGTACCACCCAAGTCGTTTGTAGGAAGCTGCCGGCTGGGTTGCCGGCTGGGTTGCCGGCTGGGTTGAATTTTTGTAGGTACTCCTGATGTTCGCGGACATTGAACCCTTGTGGTCGGGGCTCGCCCGTAAATTGTACGACGGTAGCTCCTCTGGCTCAATTTCACTAATTCGGCCTGATGCTTCCCCACCCTCCCAAGCCTCCGCACCCGGACCACCGCCACCTCGACCGAACACGGTAACTCGTCCCAGTTGCCCTCGCACAACATCTTCTGCAGGTACGACAGCCACGCACAATCACACGTTCTCTCCGGACTGCCTACACGCGTTCTCTTTCACTTGTTGAAATACGTACGAAAAAGATGCCGTCGGGAATGTGTTTCGTTGGGGCTTATTTGTGTTCCGAACACCTGTCCAGACCAGACGGTGCAATGGTGTGTTCTTGTGGGGCAACTATTTGGTCTTGAACGGGTGTTAGAACGGGTGTTACAGCGGGTGTTAGAACGGGTGTTACAGCGGGTGCTAGAGCGGGTGTTAGAGCGGGACAGGTCCCAGAGCCGGAATGCGGGTCCCCGAGACGGAATTGGGGGTTCAAGGATGGGACGGCTGTCGGACGGGTCGTATTGTTCCGGTCCGCGAGACGCACCGCCACTAGGAGTTCGTCGGCTCGGAAGAACTCTGTGAAGTTGCCTTCCAGCACTCGGTCCCAGCTGTAGTATTCGTTCTCGTCCCGAAGAGAGACGTCGACGAAGAGAGCTTGGTTCTGAGCGCTGGCATACCACGAGAGTCTCTGGAACGACAATCGTGGAAGTTCGGTTATAGGGATACCGTTTAGGTGGCTAATGGTCGCGCGAAAATTGAAGTCAGAAGGCCTAGGCGCGCCATTGTTAATGGCGTGGCCATAATACAGTTCTCTTTGGAAGATGCCCGTTGGTCGGCCTTCTTTCCGGATCGCACCGGCCGTCGTTAGCCAGGCATGGATGCGCAGCTGACATATCATCGCCCATAAACCCCTCGCCCACAAATTCCGCAACGTCCTGGCTCGGAACATGGCCACCACCGCGGAGTCTGGCAATTCATCCCAGTAAGCATCACACAATACCTTCTGCATGTACGACAACCACACATACTGGCACACACTTTCGACGGTTGCCACACACGTCCTCATTATACGCACGCGCTCCCTAACTAGCACACCGGAAATTCATTACCCAAAAAATTGATGTTTCGTCCCCCAGGTAGAAGGGAGGGGTATACTCCAGCGCCGCCTTCCCATCTTCCTTCCCATACTCGTGCGTCTGTGTCGTCAACTGTGTGAGCACACGTGCACACACCACGCACATGTGGTAACCCGTTCAAGGGTCAATAACTTGTTCAAGGAGGACAGGGAGTAAGGAGGACAGGGAGTGAGGTACGAAACGGTCCGTTGGTGTAAATACATACAGGTCACAGGTGGTACGGTTATGATGGCTCGTAGTTGTGATGGCTCACAGTGTTACCGCCACGAGAATTTCATTAGGCCCGAATTGGGCCGTAAACTCTCCTTTCAGCACTCGGTCCAAGAGAGGGCTTCTAGCCTTCTTCCCTCGCCACCAAATCTCGCTGTTGAAGAGATGAGAGTTATTATGATTCGCATACCACCGAAGCCGCCAGCATGAAAGGTCGCAGAGTTTGTCGAACGAAACTTGGTCCAGGTATTTGATGTGGTCCTTAAAGATATACTTTGGCTGGCGGTCATTCGACCATCGCTGTCGAATTTCAGCTTTGAGCAGCTCATCCCGCCTCAGAGAACACGCTTTAGCCAGACTCCGAATTTGGCCCGCCGTCGTCACCACGGCGTAGACGCCCATCGAAGGTCGAAACTCCCCATCCGCCCACAATTTGCTTTGCCATAAATTCCTTAAAGTCTTTAATCGGAACATACCAACCTCCACGGAGTCAGGCAACTGCGACCAGTCTCCGTCACACAACATCTTCTGCATGTACGACAACCAGACATACTCAAACGCACTACTATCCGGGCTCGCCACACACGTTCTCATTATACACCTTGTCGCCAAAAATACTTTGATGCAATTCTCGTTGACTTTTTTTCCAACGCCGTGTTTGTACGCGGTGTGTTTTGTCCACCTTCCAACGCGGCATCTGCTCCTTTAGTCATGACGCCTTAACCTTCCACTCCGTTCCTCTCTCAGGACCACTCCAGCACCACCTTGGAGGCAGGTGCGTGTGCTGACAGCTCAAGACCAACAGCTCACGGCTAACTATCTCGATAAAGCAGAGGCGGCGCATGGACAGTGCGGCCATAAAATGCTAGCATTGATGCGTGAAATAAGTGGTGAGATAAACCAATAAGTGACAAGTTCCAGGATGGGCTTTGGGCAGTTACAGTCGGTGGCTGGTTGCGAACTGTAGTTGACTGGGTGGGGGAGGTGCTGGTCGTTGCAGGGTCCAGAGCAGCAGTGATCCCAGAGGCGATGAGGTCCCACTTCAGTGGTGCAGGAGACGAGTCGGGGGTCCGAAAGAGGGGTCCTTCAGCCGATGGGTCCGTGAGCTGAGCTGGGTAGTCCAGCCGATGGATCCGTGACCTGAGGGGTCCTCGAGCTGAGCTGAGGGGTCCTCGAGCTGGGTTGAGGGGTCCTCGAGCTGAGTTGAGGGGTGTCCTCGAGCTGAGCTGAGGGGCCCTCAAGCTGAGCTGAGGGGTTCTCGAGCTGAGGAGTTTTTGAGGCTGGTTTTTTCTTCCTTCCAGGGGCTCCAGAACCGGTGGGGGTGGGCGTCCCCGAGGCGCACGGCTAGGAGAAGATCATCAGATCGGAAGTGTTTCGTGAAGTTGCCTTCGAGAACTTTGTCCTCCCAGAGCGTGTCTTGAGCCTGGGAGTTGGTCGAGGGTTGGAATGGCCGGCGGCACTTTTCGAAAGCGTACCAACGCAAGCGTTGGTGCGAAATTTCCGGGAGGTCCTGCGTTCGAAGTATCTGGAGGTGCTTACGTTGATCTCGAATATCGAACCCTTGGGGACGGGCTTCGTCAGTATTCCTAACCCGGAATCGGCATAATTCCTGGGGGAGAATCTCAGAGGGTTTAGCTTCCTTCCGTAATTCGCCTGCGGTTCTCTCCACGGCGTACACCGCCAGTTGCGGCCTTCTGCCATCTTCCTGGTCCCAGGCGTGACGCTTCCATGCGTTTCTCAAAGTTTGAAATCGGATCAAGGCCATTCTGGTAGAGTCTGGTAACTTGTCCCAGTCATGTTCACACATCATCTTCTGCAGGTATGACAACCAAGCGCACTCCCAAGCGTTCTCTGCACTCGCCACACACGTTCTCATCACCCTCTCGACCAAAAATACTTTACGCCTAATTCACGTTTCGTCCCGTCAAAATCCGCTTTGGCTGTGTACTACGCCCAAAAAAATACCTGCCCGACCAACTTTTTGGCTCCCTCCTACAGCTGCACGGCCACTAACATATCATCAGCTCGGAAGTGCTCCGAAAAGTCGCCTTCAAACACCAGATCCCAAACCGGGTTTTGGCCCGCTTTTCCGGTTTCCGATGCGTTATCGAAAAGCTTACAACACCATGGGTGTTCGTACCACCATAATCGACGGTACGAAATTTCCGGTAGATCGCCTAAACACACCCATTGTAGGTACTTGATATGATCGCCAAATTTAAACCCTGCCGGTCGGGGCTCTCTTGTTTTTCTAACACGTTTCCGACCAAGTTCTTGTTGGTCTACTTCAGATGGTTTAGCTTGCTTCCGGAGCTCGCCCACGGTCGTCTCTAACGCGTACAGCTGCAGGTCGGGTCGATGCCCATCAATCTCACGTCCAAAGCCACGATTCTCCCACGCATTCCTCAAAGTTTGAATTCGGATCACTGCCATTCTCGTTGAGCCTGGTAACTCCTCCCAGTTGCCCTCACACAACATCTTCTGCAGGTACGATAACTACACATACCCACTACCACTTTCTGAACTGGCCACGAAGGTCCGCATCACCAGCCCTTAAAAAACTTGCAGCCCTAAAGATACTGCGATATACGTTTAGTCCCCAACCGTACTCTCCACGCGGATGTCTGAGACCTCATTCGACTCTGCTTTCTTCGAACGCAATCATTCAGCGCGTCTCTTCACCGCTTCTACCCTGGGTCCAGCTTTTGACCCGAGGACGTCTACCGCTCACGTCGCCCACCAACCACTGGTCGCATACTCCAATATGTTCGTCAACTAATAAGTTGCATGGAAAGTTGAGAATCGTCAATGTCTTCGCGAACTCACACTTGCGTGCTTGTTTTCAAATCTTTATCCCTTTTGTCTTGATTCATTAACAGAAAAGTGAGACCGTACTCTTCTCGGTATTGGCTGCGATTCTACTGAAGGAGTTGAAGTTAGCTTAAGTTTAAGGAGAGTTGAGATGGGTTCTGATCGCGTCCGGTAAGGTTCACCGCTGCAGCGGTTTCCGCGTGATGATGCCCGAGTGGCTAAAGTCGATGTAGGTTGGGCGGCAAGCCGGGGGCTCTAACCCCACCTCCCCTCCCCGGTGGCCACGTGCTCGTGAACAAAGTTGTGCTTCTGCGTTTGTGGTCTAGTGGTAGAATGCCTCGTTGCCATCGAGGCGACCCGGGTTCGATTCCCGGCAGACGCATTTCGGGTATTTTCGCATGTTTACAAGTTTCATTGACACTCACGTTTCGCGTTAAATGAGAGGGTCTCTCCGGTATCCACAGAATTGCAAGCCGGCATCAACACAAGATGTCCAATAACATTGACGAGTCCGACTCCGGAACAAGTACACTTACCTAGAGATACTACGTCTACCGTATTCGATGGATACATCGACTTCTGGTTCGCAGGGCCCATCAACATCTACCGTTAAGATACGAAGTGTTTGTAGTGCTTGAGTACGTAGAGGAAGGGCTTGCAGTCGCTCGTTTCCAATCTTTGGTGCGCTGGTAAGTGATGTAACAATTGACCAAGTTGGCGACAGATCATAACCCGCATCAGCTACATTGATTAAGATTCACCTTCAATTCACTTCCCTTCAAGAACTGACACAGCACACTCTTTCAAGAGCTGGCACAGCACACTCTTTCAAGAGCTGGCACAGCACACTCTTTCAAGAGCTGGCATCCCGTAAAAAATAACTCTTGCTGCGGCCAGGTCTTTGGATAGGTACTAAGCTAACCTCTATTTTAACCTCTATTTTAACCTTCAACACCCCCTATGGTAGTCATCGGGGTTCGGCAACAACAGTGATACCCGAGCGTTCGCATGTCACCAACAGAGTCGTCAACCACTGTCAGGGAGTAGACCTGCATGAAGAAAACGGACGTTCTCTCGGAGCGGATATTCAGCGAGTCTGCAAAACGACTAACTGAGCAGCCGTCAGGAGCAGCCGTCAGCCAGTCAACTTGCGGGTTAGACTTTTTATCAATTTTTGCACAACACACACACACGGACGGCTCCAAGAGGTCAGCGTGTGCGGAATGGGAGCCAGTTGTCTGCGACCAGCCCGGACGGTTTGGTATTTTTTTAGCATCACAAAGCAGCGTCATGGTTTACAAGCTTGTTCTCGTCCGTCACGGTGAGTCTACCTGGAACAAGGAGAACCGGTTCACTGGCTGGACTGATGTGCCCCTTTCTGAGACTGGTCGTCAGGAGGCGCTTGCTGCCGCTGAAGTGTTGACGGCGAAGGGTTACAAGTTCGACGTGGCCTTTACTTCGGTGCTGAAGAGAGCGGTGACAACTTGCTGGGCCGTGTTGGAGAACACGGACCAGTGTGCGGTCCCGGTGCAGCAGTCGTGGCGTTTGAACGAACGCCACTACGGTGCCCTTCAGGGTTTGAACAAGGCGGAGACCGCGGAGAAGCACGGAGAGGCGCAGGTGAAAATCTGGAGACGGTCTTATGACGTCTGCCCCCCGGCTCTTGAAACCTCAGACGAGAGGTTCCCCGGCAACCAGGCTCTGTACAGCAAGCTGCCGAAGGACTGCCTGCCGCAGACCGAGAGTCTGAAGACCTGCATCGACCGCGTACTTCCCTACTGGCAGGACACTATCGCTCCCCAGGTTTTGGATGGAAAGAATGTCTTGATCGCCGCACATGGCAACTCCCTCCGAGGCCTCGTGAAGCACCTAGACGAGATGACCGAAGAACAAGTTCTAGAGCTGAACATACCCACGGGCGTGCCCCTTGTCTACGAACTGAACGAGAACCTCAAGCCTATCAAGCACTACTACTTGATGGACGAGGCCGAGCTCAAGGCACGCATGGACGCCGTTGCGAACCAGGGCAAGAAGCAGTAAATTGTATTTTTCGAACTTTGTGTAGATTTTGGAGTGGATTTATTGTGTGGGTAGGCTGCACACACTCCCGGGTGGCTGCACACACTCACACTCCCGGGTGGCTGCACACACTCACACTCCCGGGTGGCTGCACACGCTCCCGGGTGGTTCATGGACCAACTTCGGGGTTTGCTGCGGGCTGGTTGGATGGAGTCATGGCGGGCGACAACGAGTTTAAAAAAGTATTGCCCCCCGCCGTAGAGGAATTACCGGGAAAAAAATGGCGATACGGAAGCGCGTGGATGACAAGTTGGCGTCTCTGGTATGGAATGCCGTGGAGAACCATCAGCGGGCGTTTTTGGTGTTAATAGGGAAGGACATACGGAGTCATGTGTTGAATTTGTACGAAATGCGCAGCAAGCTGGGTACGCATAGGTTGAGTGTTGCGTGGTGTTATCGACGTGATATAGGTTTTGCGGCGAATAAGATGAAACGTGCTAAGCAAATAAGCAAACGGAAGTCGCGCGGGACGTATGATGCGGAAGCAGAAGACCCTTTCTGGCTGTTCCAGCAGGGTACTAAGGTGACCTATTGTCGGTACCGTGACTCAAATCGGTTGATGGGTAACACCTACGACTTTTTGGTGTTGCAGGACTTCGAAGCCATCACGCCCAACGTGCTGTGCCGAGTGGTCGAAACCGTGGCCGGCGGTGGACTCATTGTCCTCGCCATCAAGTCCGTCCAGACCTTCCAAGAGCTCTTCCATAAAAAGTTCGACATACTTCGCGTCTACGACCACGACCGGACAGACCACGACCGGACAGTCCAGGACCGGACAGACCAGGACCCGGCAGAAGGCGGGTCGGTGGAGAGCAACAGGTACTGTGAGCGGTTTATAAGGTCGCTGAGCCAGTGTCGTAACTGCCTCATCCTTAACGACCAACTTGACATCTTGCCTATATCTCGCAAACGGCTGGAGGAAATACCCGACATCACCGGCTCAATGACGTCGTCTAAGTACGACCTGAGGACACATAGCAAGCATGCGATTGTTGACAAACAGCTACTTCGTCTCCAAGAGGACTTCCGGCGACACACTCATATCTCTCCGATACTGAATTTATGCGTCACATTTGACCAGGCGAAGGTCGTGGCCGCCATTGCTGACCATTTCCACAACCTAGGGGAAGGGGTTGATGACCAGAAGAGGGTGGTCTCTATATTGGCTAACCGCGGTCGCGGGAAGTCAGCGGCTTTAGGACTTGGCTTAGCAATAGGCGTAAGGTTGCGCAAACTCGAGCGCGTCGGCATCTCTGCGATCAACATCGAGAACGTCAGCACCGTTTTTGAGTTCTTCATTAAGGGCCTGGAAGCCGGAGGGATTACCGACCAATATGGGGCCGTTACCGGCGATATATCTGGCGTTGGACACTACCTCAAAACTACCTGGAAGGAAAAATATGTCCTTACAAATAATGATCTTCAAGACCCGGATTTCGATATGAAGGACTCCCAGCTGGCTACGGAAACCAATAGGAATCGAGATGCGCGAATTTGCCAAGTCGAATGTTTGCTGGATCAGAGCCATCGCACGATCGTGGAGTTCGTGTCTGTCAAAGAAGCAGCCAAACTGCAGCAGGACCACGCGCCTTTCGACGGGACATTGAGCCTACATGGTGGCAGCAGACCTCAGTTCGACTTACTCGTCATCGACGAGGCTGCTGCCGTCCCCATACAATTAATGCGCTCCATCCTGAAAGCTAAGAGCAACATTTTGCTCGCGAGCACAGTGGATGGCTATGAAGGCACGGGTCTGGCGTTGACGAACGTAGTCCTGAAGGAGCTTCAGCAACAGCCGCAATTGGATTACGACCAGCGGCTCATGCAAGCTCCCATACGGTATGCTAAACGCGATCCAATCGAATCTTGGTTGCGGAGCTTCCTGTGTCTTGACGCGGGAACAAATATTGTCGGCGATCGTCGGTAGCGGCGAGTGGTGGGTGATAATAGCCACTGGTGGCTGAATTTTTTTCTGTTGGGTCAACTTGAGTCACCGCATTGAGTCAGGCACTCTTTCGGGTATGTATGGTGGGTGCGACTCACGTTGGCGGTCCCTTTCGGACTTTGGAATAGATTGTGCGGTGGAGGTTTTTTCACCAAAAGAGTCCCATGGACATAATAGATGGTCATGACCGTATTTGTTTGGTGATGGCTCATCCTGACGATGAGACAATGTTCTTTACACCGACGTTGCTGACGTTGCGCGAATTACTGGTGGACTTTGAGAAGCAGGTCCACATCGTATGCTTCACGAACGGCAACAATCAAGGTTTGGGAAAGCTGAGAGAGGAGGAACTTAACAAGTGCTTGTCTACGTTGTACGGAATCAGTGGCAACACTCAGGTCGTGATTTACGATAGACCGGAATTCCGGGACGGAACGAAGTACATGTGGGATGTGAGCTTGATGACGAAACTGTTGACGGATTATTGCAGAGAGCGCAAAATCGATTGGCTATTTACATTTGATCGCGACGGGGTATCTCACCATTCCAACCACAAGGCCTGCTGGAGGACTTGCGCGGACGTCTTGGATCGGGGTGGTCTTGTGAAAATAAAAGGCGCGTTCCAACTTACATCGTTACCTCTGATAGTGAAGTATACCGGCATTGTTGGAACAGTGTTGTGGATCCTCTGCAGACAGCTCCTAGGTACTCGTGAGCACATCTTCCTTGTCAGGCCGTGCTACCTGCAAATGTTCAAAGGAATGCACTGCCACAAATCACAATTAACATGGTACAGGGTGCTCTTTGTTTTGTTTTCCGTGTAAGATTCCCCCCCCCCCCCACCCCCCGTATTTCCCCCAGCCGTTGTAACATCCCCCAGCCGTTGTAACATCCCCCAGCCGTTGTCACCATAAGAAATTTAGTTCCCCCAGGTACGCTGTTTTCAATGAACTGAGTCCCATCGACTACAGGAGCATCCACGTCCGCTGAAGTGACGCCATTCATCCTGCGGGCTAGTCGCTGGCACCCAGTGCTTTTATCTTTCTTTCTCTTTGAGCCAAAACTCCTCCGGTAAACCTTTCCTTTAGATAACAGTATCAATGACGGATATGTATCAATGACGGGTATGTACCGACGACGGATATGTACCGACTACAAACATGTACCGAAGACGTACATGTACCGAAGACGAACAACGCACCCGACGAGGTAATACCCACGAGGCAACCTGCTCCCGAGATGATTTCCCCACAGGCACCCCCCTTAAAGCGGCCTGAGAAGACCGTCTCAGATTCTTCGACGAAAGTGCGACGACATTTGGAGGCGCCAATTTCCTAGCCTGTATGAAAAACTTGTGCTGGCCAGACAGATACGGCCTCGGCTGGACGCGGCTTCGGCTGGGCGCGGCTTCGGCTGGACGCGGCTTTGGCTGGACGCG